TCATCCTCATTCTCCTCCTCCTCCTTCGGTATGTATGATGTGTGTCAATGTGTGTGTTTGCTTGCATCCTATGTGTGAGTTGATGCACACAAGTGCTACAGCATGCGTGCGGATGTCACAGATGACTTTAGGAGTGGTTCTGACTTTCTGTCCTGTTTCTGCCACTTTGCCATGAAATCCTGACTATCTGCCCTGGAAGTGTCCAGCAGTTCTCCTCCCCACCTCCCATCTCGACACAGGAGCACTGGATTTGCAGATGTATGCTGCTGCATCCGGCTTTTTACATGGCCCCAGGGATCTGAACTTGAGTCGTCAGACCTTTGACACAAGCACTTTTAAGCACTGAGCTAGCTCTCCAACTATAGATTTATTGTATTGAGAACTGCCTATTCACTTCATTAGCCCATTTGTTGATCGTATTTTGGTTGTGTGTATGCTGTGCTTAATTTTTGCAGTTCTCTGTTTATCCTTAATATTAATCCTTGACTGGTATAAGTTTTCAAGGACTTGTTACCTTGGCTAGGCAGAAACTCCTTGGTTTCATGTAGCCCCAATTAGCAATTCCGGAGATTAGTCCACGTACTGTTGGAAACTGTGCGGAAGTTCTTGCATATACCTATATCTTGAAGTGTTTCACCTGTGAACTTTCTAGCCCCCCATTAAGGTCTTCGATCCATTTTACATGATTTTCATGCAAAAGCAGAGGTACTGTCTGGTTTCATTCTCCTACCATGAAAGTCTAGTTTTCCCAGATACATCTTAAGAGGTTGTCTTTTCTCCAATGTGCGGTTGTTCTATCTTTGTTAAAAATCAGGTTGCTATAACCTTGTGGGCGTATTTCCGGGTCCTCCGTTTTATTCTGCTGGAATGTTGGTCTGGTTTCATGCTAGTGTAACCTGATTTCATAGATATATAATTTGAGATTGGGTATTTTGACATTTTCAGTGTTGTTCTTCCTACTAAGGACTATATTAGTGATTAAGGCCTTTGGTGGTTATGTGTGAATCTTAGGATTATGTTTTCTCTTTCTGTGGAGAATGTCATTAGAATTGGGTTGAATCTATAAAGCACCTTAATACAGATATTTTTACAGTATTAAATGTGTTTATCCATGAGTATGTGAGGTCTTTGCCTTTTCTAGTGGCTTTTTCAGGTTTCTTCTTCTAGTGCCTTAAGGTTTTACTATGGAGGGTTGTTCACCTGTGTAGATGTATCTCTAGATGTTCCACTTCTTGTGGAAACTGTTGGGCATTGGATATAGAAAATTATTTCTAGCATAACACAGCTCTAGATTCTGCTTGGGACAGTAAGCAGGGTTGCTGGTATTTTCATCACTGTGACATATACCTGAGGGAAACATTCTCAAAGAAGAACAGTTTGGGAACAGGGACTGTCTCTGACATGAACTGATTGGCCTGCTCCTTTATCACCTCCCCCTAAGGGGGGAGCAGCCTTACCAGGCTACAGAGGAAGACAATGCAGCCATTCCTGATAAGACCTGGTAGACTAGGATCAGAGGGACCTCAGAGGACCTCCCTTATCAGTGGACTGAGGGAGGGGTACAGGGGGGGAGAGAGAGTGGGATTGGGAAGGGAGGAGGGAGGTACAGGGGGGATACAAAGTGAATAAACTGTAATTAATAAAAATAAAAATAATTAAAAAAAGAACGGATTGCTTTGACTCACAGTTTAAAAGATTTCAGTCAATAGTTAGCATCCTTCACTGTCATATGCCTATGGTGAGGTAGAATGTCATGGCAGCAGGACCAGGAAGCACAGAAAATTTATTCACATAATCCTCAACAATAGGGGAAAGAGATCATTTGGCTGATGGATCTTTTCAGGCCACACTTCCAGTGGCCCACTTTTCCTCCCTAAACCTCGCTGTCATACTATGAATCTATCAAGGGTATTACTTGGTCAGAAAACTGTGTTGTTGTTTAGACATTTTATTCTTACTTTTTGAGACATGGTCTCACTCTGTTGCCCATGATGGCCCAGAACTCACAAGCCTTCTGTGTAGCAGCCTGGCCTCACACTAGCAGCAGTCCCCCTGTCTCACCTTCCTGAGACTATAGGTGTGAGCAATCACACCCAACAAGGTTACAGATAATTTGTTAAATCTTGGTAACCTTGTTGTGCTGCAATCCTTCTGCATTAAATTATCACATGTTGGCATTAGTGGCTTTATGGCTTGGTGGCATTTACCACAGCATTGGTGGTAGCCTCAGGATTCAATGCCATTCCCTTCAGCTGGAAACCAAATCCCCAGTTCATGAGCCTTCAGGGAATAGCTCAGATTAAAACCATAACAGTAAGCTGCATGCAGTGGCTTGTCATCATGGCTTTAAGAATCCTGTATCATCCCCTTGGGAAATCACAGATGGTAGCAACAATATCTTGTGATCTGTTTTGTTATGTGGTAATACCATGATTTTCAAGATTTGGAGATCTGCCCACAGTTGGCATTTCATACTATGATAGAATGATTTGAATATCCATAAATCATAGACAGTTCATCTTGAACTAACCATCACAAATTAAAGAAAATTTAGAGACTAAAAGCTTAAGGGGAATGAAATTAAATGTTGAAACTGCATGTCACCCACATGACAAATACCACAACCTAGTTAAGACAAAAATAACGTCTAGGAAGGAAGGAAATCAGCTTGGATTCTTTTTAAGTGATGTCCTTGCTTGGTGACCTAGGTCAACGTAACATTGACTTAGAAAGCATTCTCTTGTTTGAGAGACTTAGAGAAACCAAGGACAGATTACAAGAAAACTAACAAGTAGTGGGTATTTATATTCTATTAGTAATCATGTGATGAAGCAACAGAGCGAATAGGATATCCATATATCAGGCATAAATTCATTCAAAGTTCTAAGAATATAACCATGTCTTTAGACGTGGGTATCTTTGTATACATAACTATACGTGGCTGAGAGTGAATTCACAAGAATGTCTTGTCTCGCAGCTTCCCTTAAACTGCATGCTGACATGATTCCAGACAAATGTCTAGGTTATTTCTGAAGATCTCCAGGGAAGCAGATATGACCGCCTCTTGGTATTTTTAAATGTTAATGCTGTCAGTGAGTTCGTAGGGCCTCAAACACACTCGACTTCACCCTTCAGCAACCGCCTGACCTCAGGCTAGTCTTTTTGTGCTTCTAATCTTCAGTTTCCATTTCTGTAAACCTGAGGTTTAAATAGTATTTGCCTCATAGAATTGTAGAGTGAATGGAATGATGCATGTAAGTACTTAGCGACAGTGTCTGGATAAAATGTCTGCTCACTGGCCTCAGCTAAGTGTATTGTGCTCCACGGAAATCTCCACAGGGTAACCTGTGGACCGTCTTGAGTTATCTAAGTAACCTTTGTCAACCACTGCTCAAAATGCTATACTAGCACCATCTAGGTTGTGCATGTTTCTGCAGGGAGTATACGGATAGATATTTAGGATGTAGTTAGGAATCGGATGGTTTAGTGAAGTGGCAGTAATAGAATCTCTCAGAATACATGATTTCACACACTCTGGTTAATTGGCTGGGTTTTCCAGGCATGATTTCATTCTTGTTATGTAGGCCTTAAGTCCAATTAGAGAGCTCTTGGTTACCACCATGGTATGTGCGCCACTATTGTACGCTTAGTGTTTCCATGCTTATGCTAAATGTTGTCTTAGTTCATGGGCATCATAGCTGAATAGAATTATTTATTGCTTCTCTCACTTTGAGGCTTGTATGGTGCCTTCTGTTATCATAAAAACTAGTCCTCAGGAAAGATGTTTTCAGATCAGAACCAGCTCAGATCATCTCAGACATGTATCCAAAGAGCACGTCTTTAACCTCTAGGCAGCAAACAAGTGTGACAGCTATAGCCTATGTTTGGGGAGTCTCTTGAACAAGCCTGACCAACAATTCAAAATGGGTTTCTCATGCCTGGTGTTTGGATTTTTGTAGTCTATGGATACTAAAGGAAGCATTATCATCCCAGATGGGAAATTTTCATTTAAACTATACATGTGTATGTATATACATATTTATTTATAATTTTAGGTAGATACTTCAGATATCATTATTCAGACATTATTATTTTACCCTCCTTCCTTTTTCTGAATTAATCTCCCCACTTCCTAGTTAAAGCCCCTCCCCATTTTTCCACATTCTCCTTTAAATCACTTGTATCCTCCATCTATTTCTTTCCCATCCCCCTACTCTGGCAATAATCTCTTTCCTGGTTCCTACAGATACTCCACGTTATATACTCACATTTGAAGATTTGAAACTAGAAACTTCAGATGAGAGAGAACATGTTATGTTTCTTTCTGGGTCTAGGTTACCTCATTCAATATGATCTTCTCTAGTCCTACCCGTTTACCTGAGAAGTTCATGGCATTCTTTAAAACTAAATAGTATTCCATCCTGTACACATACCACATTTTTATTATCCATTCATGAATTAAGGATATTTAGGTTTTTTCCATTTCCTGGGTATTATGAATAAAGGACCAATGAACATGACTGAGCAAGCAAGTATCTGTGAAGAGGAATGGCAAGTCCTTTTGGTATAGTTATATGGTAGATTTATTTTAACTGTTTGAGCCTTCTTAACACTGATTTCCACAGTGGCTGGACCCTCTGGTAGCATTGTTAAAGCATTTCAGCCACCTATGTTTTCAGAAACTTGCTCTCCTTAAGAAGTCTACTGAGAGAGGCCACAGGCTCATTTCTTCGTTCAAGTAAAATGATTACTTTTAAAGAATTGTGGCACCTCTGAGTTCAAACCCATGCTATGCAATCACCGAACCACTGAGCTACACTCCCAGCCCTAGAACAAATGTTGCTTAACGAAACTGGCAGCACCGTGCTTCCAACTGTAGCCTCTCATGTGCAGTGAGGGTCCCCCTTCTCAGAGACCTCCCACCAGCTGCCTGTCTACACTTCATCACCCCAGCACACGCTCGTTCTGCACTCCGGCCTGACAGTGTCATTTGTACACAGGTGTCCAGGAGGCCGTGGTGAGCTGCCTGAACAAACAGACCCGGGAGCTCGCGGATGAGAACCTGTGTGTGAGCAGCCGAAGGCCCCCACAGCTCCTGAGATCCTGTAATTTGGATCCCTGCCCAGCAAGGTAAGGGATGTGTTGCTGCCCTGCCAGCCAGGAGCATGTGTTGAACTGGGTGCATCTCTCTATGGGCAACACCGAAACGCTTACTACTACCGAATGTTTTGAAAACCAATTAGCGTCAGTTCAAACTCCTAGTCAAATCCACTTAAATTTAATTGAAAGCAGGGCCCTGGAATTCTAGCCCAATCAATGGTCAGATAGTCCAGAGGCTCCATGCACTAAGCAAATTTGTGGCATGGCTGTTAGGTGCATGCAACATTCTCTTGCTTCCCCCTAAAGTGAAAATTAACTGACCACAAACTTCGTGATCTATGCTAGCCCTAAGCCTGCATCCCAAGCCCTTACACCATAGTAATAAACTGGCTTCCAAATTACAGGGTATAAGGTCCTGAAGTGCCCGGGTGGCATAACTGACCTGCTGTGAAATCTGTGTGCACACAGCATGCAGATTCATTCTAGCATGCTCCGGGGTGTGTGTATCATTCCACACACGTAAAATCAATTAGAGCATTTCATTGTTCAGCCTTGCCTGTGTCTCATTATCACCCAACCTTGAGTCTTCGCTAACCAATCCAATCACTGCTTTGGTACACATGATTTTATGGTGTCTTGGGAAATTTGCCTTTTAGATACTTTCTGGAGCAAACCTCCTGTATGGTTCTGGTTTGGAAGGGATATGTTTGAGGAACTAAAGCCAGACTTGCAAATCTACAGCTTCAGCGAGGAGCATTACTGGATAAGGTCATGTCCTAGATATGAAAGGAATGTTGCTTCTGAATATTTCTCATTTCTCTGCAAAATCCATCATAGAAGAGCCGCTGTATTGTTTATAGGTGCTAACAGTAGTTTGCTGGTAAAGTCTTTGTGCTGATTGTCTTCTTTCTCAGCCAGCTCCAGAAGACTCCTTACTTTGAGACTTAAAAGAGACAGATTCAGGCCTTTTCCAGTCATGTTACACATCCCTATAGTGACATTCTGGTCACCATAGTTCTTCCACATATTGATCTGCATGCCAAGACTGAGCTTCCCCTTCCAATATAGAAATGAACATGGCCACCAGTGCCACATACTCCAAGGCCATCCACTTGCCTTGAACAGCACCCCACCCATCAGAACAGGAGGAAAACAGAGTCAAGTGCTGGAGAGAGAGAGAAGATAGATCCAGTGCATCAAATCCCAAGCAAGTGTATAGCATGGCTATTATCATGTGTCCCTGCCGGAATTAGTCCCTCATCTATCTCAAACTCCGCGCTGACCATAGGTGTGTGACCCTCTGACTTTAGTTCATTAGAAAAGAATACAGACTCCTTTACTTGTTGACAGTCCCTCGTATTAAAAGAAGGCTGCAAGGCCCTGGGATAGAAGGTCAACAGGGATGGGTCTCAACCTACCTGTCACCAGCTAGCTATGTAGCCTTGATCAAGTTGACTACTCTCTCTGTTCCCCCAAGAACAAAATAAAATCACTGAACAAGATAACATGAGTTTGCCATGCCCCACACAAATATCGCATGATTGTTCATTATCCCAAGGGCCGAAGTTTTGCACAGCTATCAGCTCTTCTGTGTGTTGTCAAGTGCTGTCATTATGTCTTGCTTGTTTGCCGTCATTAGAAAACAAGAAGTGTCTTTTTAGTACATTCCAGTGCTATAATGAGCCGAGGCAAGGCTAGGGAGTCAGTACTTGGGGTGGGTAAAAATTGCTGGCATGTGTAGCCACTGAATCCATTCTTTATCTGAGCAGAAAATAGTAACGATGATGATGATGATGATGATGATGATGATGATGATGATGATGATGATGGTGATGATAATGATGATAACGATGATAACTAATAATAATAGGACACAAGCATATTCTCTTATTCTCAAAGGGCTAACTAAGGTTAATTGGATAAGGTTAATTTACACTGGTCCTTTTTAATTGATTCTCCTGTGGACTATTTCAAGATAACTTTAGAGCAGTCTTCCCTTGCTGATCTCCATGGAGTAAGATGTACACACATGTGTTTGGTAGAGATGTAGCCATGTGCCCTTCTCCTCTACACCATCAATCCAGTCAGAGGTTATTCAGATCTTTGATTCACCATTCTTCAGCAAACTTCTGCATTCCCTATGTATTTTAATGTATCTTATGATGGGGCAAAACTTTCTACATAGTCTTTTATGCTCTTAGCCTTATTGAAATCCACATGTTTTGAAACAAAAAAAAAAAAAAAAAGAGGAAAAAAGAAAACCATAGCATTTCTACACAGCAAATGCTACAAATCGTCATTTTTGGTGTCTGTGAGGAGACTCGGGGAAAAGGCCAGCCTCCATCTTCAGGGAGTTGTCAGTTCTGATGACTGCCAGTGGGGGGAAAATCACCAGCCTCACATATGCTGGGACCAGTGCTGTAACATGCGCTGTGCCAACGGCCTCTGTCATTCTGGAGCAGCTTCTGAGGCCCACACTTGATCCTTCTGGCTTCCCCTGTGTAAAGGTGAGTTTGTATCAGAAGCACATGTCTGACTTTCCCCAGCATTCCCCCATGCAGTTTTCAGGCCTGGTCGCTTACAGGTCTGTTCGCAAGCTGGAAGGACTCTGGCTTTTCCAGCTTCTGTGCGTATGCCTGAGTGCATATGTGTGCGTATGCATAATGCTTACCTTGTTTGTTTGTTTTTTTCAATTTAACTTTATTTTTTATAATTTATTCGCTTTACATCCTGGTTGTAGCCCCCTCCATGGTCTCCTCCCAGTCCCACCCTCCTTCCTTCTTCCTCCCATCTTCCTCCCCTATTCCTCAGAAAGGGGGAGACCTACTCCCCTACAATCTGACCCCAGCCTATCAAGTCTCATTAGGCTCCCTGCAACTTCTTCCTCTGTGGCCTGGCAAGCCCCTCCCCCCCCACACACACACAGGGTGAAGTGAGCAGGCAATTGAGTCCATGCCAGAGACAGGCCCTGCTCCCATTACTAGGGAACCCACATGGAGACTGAGCTGCCTATTAGCTACATCTGAGCAGGGGGTCTAGGACCTCTCCATGCATGGTTCTTGGCTGGTGCATCAGTCTCTGCAGGTCTCCCTGGGCCCAGATTTGTTGGCTCTGTTGGTCTCCCCATGGAGTTCATGTCCCCTCTAGTACTTCTATTCCCCAACTCTTTCCTAGGACTCCCTGAGTTGCATGCTTACCTTCTTTAGATAACTTAAAGTGAATAGTAGTTTCCATTGAAGAGGCTAGACTCGTAAAGTTGTTGCTCTCAGCTTTATGTCTTGATCCTCCTCTCTTGATCTCTATGATCTAGGAACCAACAGGTGGCAGATGATTGTTCATTGGGAGACTGTGTTTGTAATTGGCAAGGTTTAAAGCATGCTGTGGCTGTGAGCCAGAAGGCCTCACTGCTATTTCTGTCCTCTTTATCCCTCTCTTCCATCTTCTGAGCAATGTTTAAAATTCCATTATTAGGATCTTTTTCTTCAACTCAAGGCCTTGTCAAGCTATAATGTAAATTTGAGATTAGGGCATTTATGTTATCACTTATATATAGAAAAGTATACTCAAAGTAAAGAAAGACACAAGGTAAGCATTGATGGAAGGGCCAGGGACAAAGAGATTGAGTAGTTGTTAGCATTGACTAGTAGAAAGTTTGATTCTGGGAGGGAGGGATCAGGCTGTGGAGAAAAGAAGATATTTATTCATTTGCAACCTTTCCGAAAATTGGCCATAAAGCGTTGAATGCAATTTTGCTTGTAAAGCCCCATTGAGAGCTTTCTTCAAAGTTGATAGGAAATGAGTTATTATCATAGAGAAGGAAAAATTTTTGTGTACATATTTAATACTAAGCAACTTCAGTCTCAGTGGCAACATTATCTTTCCCAAGTGGGTCATCAGTGGGTGAGGTTGGCTTGGAGATTTTTTTAGAAGGAGCCAAGACCCATTGTAGGCAAAGAAGTCAGTCTCTGTTCCTAATTTTATTTTTTTAAAGCTTTCTGGGTGTTCTAATTATCTAAGTAGCTCAGGCAGAGTCTTATTTTTTTTTTAAATTCAAGGGAACATCAAGGAAAAGAAGGTAGAAAGATTGGAAGAGCTATTTTGATTGGAGAATCAAAATAGCTGCTGTGAGATAGTGTCTTTGACATGACAGACACTGCAGTCATGAACTCTGAGAAGTATGGTTGTCTGCACATGACCTGCACATGACCACCCTGGCTAACATGCCATTGTGTGGGGGAGAAATATTCATAAGGCCCTACCCCGTGTGAAGAACTATAGACAATCCCAGCTCTGAGGGATCAAGCACATAGTTTTCCAATCCTATGTGCATACATACAAGCAACTCTAACTAGACTCAGTAAGAATGTGTGCGTGTGTGTGTGTGTGTGTGTGTGTGTGTGTGTGTGTAACAATCTAACAATAATAATTATAGAAGAGATCATGAATTCCAGAGGCGGTGGGATGTGAGAAGAATTGGAAGGGGAAGGAAGGGTAGAAATGAGGTGATTACACTGTATTCCTGTATTTTTAAAACAAGTTTTCTTAAAGACTCCTCAGGCACAGCAGTAGTAGTAATCAGGACAGAAAGGTAAGTGCTGCCTTCCTTTCTTCAGCGTAGTCACCTTTCCCATCCTCTCTCACCCAGAGAGAGTCATGCTGGTAGCTTGTCTATGCACTTCAAGACCCCTTTGCATAAATTTTCATATATTTATGAACACATACAAATATGCAAGCCTTTGATATTTGTAACAAAGATTTTACCACATTTATTGCTGGGAAAAAATTTTTTTTTTCTTCACTTAGCACTGCTCACGATAGAGCTTTCACATCCCTAGGACACTCAAAAAGACTAGCAAGTACATGGAAACCTGTGATCTAAGCCTCTTTGGTCACGTTTAGCTAACTTTTGAGAAGCTATAGACATTTTTCACTCTTCATTTTTTTTTTTCCGTAAAATGGGGTAGCACTTTAGAATGCTGGATACAGTGAGCGAAACTACAGCTTCAGTACTTGAGGGACTGGGGCAAGTG